GGTGAATAGATCCTTCGGGAACAACCAATGATATATTCTTTCGCTTAGCGTTGGAATGTAGGTCTTTAATAACGGCGTGCTTTTACTACGCAAGTAAAAGAAGTGAGGATCAAGTTCACAGTCTTTAAAGCATACTGACATCTGTTAATGCGTGTAGGCGGGGTCTATTTCCTTAAATTTTACTAAGAAGTATTTAATCCGTACGAACATGAAGTGAGGTAATTTAAGGGTGCAAAAAGTGTTCCTCCCTACCAATCGCGTGATAGCTTTTCCATCCCATTGATGCCGATTTCGAGTCTGCGTAATGACCTCTTTCTTCAGTTTGTCGAAGATATGATCATAGCCGCGCGAGTGCTCAGCATCCTTTGCAGCCCGCTCCAACTCATCGTAGAGGACTTCCCAGCCCACCTGTACACAGGTCTGGGGCAGCTCGTGCTGTGACCAATCGCGGAGCAGCACGTCCACAAAGGTCTGGTAGGACCTATAAATAAAGGCAAAGTGAGGAGTGTACCGGCAGTCGTATTTCCCATAAGACCACAACACAAAGCCATCAACAAAGGCACACTCACCCAAGATTGGTCTTCAGCTGTGCAGGCTCAAAGATGTGTTCAAACACGTAGGACTGAAGTTTCTGCCAGAGGCGCTCCTTGATCTTCTTCTCCCATGTCACCGAGGGTATGGTGCTGAGACTGACGAGGTTATCTAAGATCTCATTTCGACCCTTATCAAACAACTCCTCGCGGTCCATTTCACGGATGTATGGGAAAGTGTTCTTCCACTCGGTCTCCAAGTTATAGCGTATAGCTAACCAAAATAATTAAAATATGGTTGTCCCTTAGAAGGACCGCTAAAGTGGGGTTGTGCTTTCTGTTTAAATAAAATACACATATAGGATAAGTGAAAAAAACCTTTCATGCTACTGAAGTGATATGAAAAATACCACTTTCCAGTGAAACAGACAGACACGAATATTTAACCATCACTATTCATAAGCACGCAACTTCAGCCATGACCGCAAAATATGGATACGGACGCTAAATTCCTAGGTTGGAAGTAAAAGCACTCGAAGTAGCCGAACAGCAACAAGGTATTGTAAACACTATGATGGCAGAGAAAGTATGGGTTCAAAAACTGTCGGGAGCTATAGGAATTACAGGAAGCTTGGATTTTAAGTAAACGGAAAACATATAAGGTTAACACCTTGTGAATATAACTAAAATTAAGGAATCATGTAAAAAGTATTAAAGGAAAAGACGCAATGAGTCCTACATAGTAATTAATAAATAAAAAGCCATTGTCTACTTATCACAGATTAGGGATCGGAATAAATCCGATGGACCAGAAAGGAGCAATCTTGTTCACTGATTCTAGCAGAGACACAAGAACAGTGGAGTCACCAAAATATCAACGGCGTTAATAGGAGCTTGTAAGCCGATGAGATCAAAGTTGTAAGGTGCAGTATGCAGGTAGTACAACGTAGTTACCTCGATAGGTGTCCGCTTCCTGTTCCACAGAATCCTTAACCATCTTCCAAAACCGTTCAGACACCGCCTTACTCATGTTCTCAGTGGTCATCTGGGCCAACTTGAGCGCTCCCTCTCGGAAAAGACGCGACTTTCTGAAAAACTCAGACTCGTACTCTTTGATGCTTTCGATACTCTCGTCTTTGGATCCTTTAAAGTTGTTATTAATATTAAACAATAATAATAGTCGATAGTGACCGATTCAATGCTAGGTTTTCAGTGTAATTCTTATTCACCTTTTCCTGTAACAACAGCGTAGTATCCGAGAGCTTTCATAGGAAACAGTCGCCCTTCGAGAATTTCACGGATCTAGACAGGGGATTTGCAACTGCATAAACTGGTTCTAGAGATTTTCACAAATAACAATTGGAAATACTCACTCGATTTGGATTATAGAGGTTAGCCTCAGCAAGATCAACCTTCGTTAGCACAAAAATTGTTCGCTTTCCTTGAGGGTCGACTGAAGTAACTAGATCAGTCACATTACTTCGTTCAGCATCAATGCTACCATCTGATAAGAGCAACAACAGTAATGAGTTCAGATTGAGAAAGAGGAAACGAGGTGAATCCGTTGGTAAGAAGCCCTACCTTGTATGCAAAGAATAATAGCATTTGGGTTATTCATGTACTGCTTTACGAGTTTTCGAATGCTCTCACGGGTTCCGACCTCCATCCCAGTGGTCTGAGTAGAGATAATTCCGGGCAGATCAACCAAAACCATACGCTGTAAACCAGGACCTTTGACACTAAGCGAGATCACTTCAGTGCTAATGGTCTTGCCGCCCGCAACGAGACCTTGCATTCGAAGCTTGAACAAGTAAATAGAGTGCCAAGAAGCCATTTCAGCAAATTCGTGGCTTAACAGGTAAAAACTGTTACCTCTATCTCATTTCGCAAGCTTGCAAGCTCTGCCTCGTTGGTCAAATCATATTCCTTGGGACTGTCTCGGAAGGAGGCCACATGGTAGGGACCCTCAGAGAGGGTAACTTTGACGGGAGAACGGGTCATCATCTCACCAGATCCCCGTGGAAAAATACGCGCTTGAGCAATCATCTCCAAAACTGACGTCTTTCCCGAACTTTGATCACCAACAACCACGACCCTCGGCAGATGATCCTAAGAACGGCAACAAATAATACAATTGCTTAAATTGGCATTTGCACACATAAACTGTGCAAATGTTGCAAACTGACCTGCATATTATAGTCTGTGTCAAGATTGGATAGCTCGTCGAGAACCTCGGAATACATGTCAATTAGCGTTTTCTATAATTCGCTGAAATGGTAAAATATATCAAACTTTAATTCGATCCGGTTGAGTGGTTTTTTGGTATTTAAGAAGGAGCTGTTTGCGTAGATTCCTGTTTTCATTTTTTTGATCATTGAGAGCCTTTTGATACTGAAGCTGAAAACAATATTAGTAACGGTTCCGACTGTACTTTGGTCTTAATAAGCTCATTTCTAAGGTCCTCGATTATTTCCTCTTTCTCTTTTCGTAACTAAAAAGTAGGCGGAATCCGTATTATTACCTTTTCAATTTCATCTGCCGAAATATTTTGTTCTACGGGAAAGTGAGAAAACAGTATTTGTTGTTACCACTAGGTATTCCAGGTTGTCCCTGATCCGACGCTGATGCATCCACCTGTTCCGCATTGGCATGCTTACAAACGTCCATACAAGAGTAACCCCACGGACCTACCGGGGAGTCCTTAGAAGTCCATGTTAATGAATTTCTTAGAGTTGCAAACAACGATTGGACTTCTGATTCCTCTGGTAGATAATTCTTCAAGTAACCGAAATTGGGTAGGGAGTTTTTTATGTCCTCGTATTTCTATATGCATAACTCGACAATCAAAGCTTAAAGGAACCTGGTTTATGGTATACGCCCCTCCAACTCCAGCACCGAAAATAAGGTAACGCAACTTCAACACACGAGCAAGAATTCTAGCAGTCAAACCTGATGCAAACCGTTGATGATTTAGCCTGAGAGTGGTCCTAACACGTGGGAAACGAGCTCGACCGAGCATCCCCTGCCGTGATAACGAGAGCCTGATATTAGCAGGCTAAAAGTGAAGTATAAACAGCCCAATCCATGTGCAATACTTAGCGCAGAATGCGAAATGTGGATGAAACTGTACAATAGACGTAAAAAAGGTAATCCTCAACAAAACACGAACTTGAAAATTAAAAAACCACAAGATTCTCTAACATGCGAAAAATGACAACAGAATTGTGTCGTGATTGTATTAAATGATAGTTGCAAGAAGTAGACCTTTCACAGATTTAAGATTGACGTAGGATACTAATATGGTATGATGAAATACAACCACACAAAGCACATAATTTGGAGAGCACTAATCCTATACCTTGCTGTGCAATAACGCGTAACATCTTAAATGAATAAAAACATACTCCCTGATGATTCAAGAAAATCTAGCCGAATAACTTGTCCTTTATAGGTACTGTCTATTATCTGCAACTTTAACAAGAAACAATGTTTATAAGCAAACGTGTTACCTAAATATCAGCAAACTTCCAATTTGAATTAATAGCAGATAAGATTATTGAAAAACAAACTTGGGGGTGTCAATGTGCCTATATGTAGTTCTCAGCCCATACCATGACAACACCTCTTTATTATTTAAGAAGCAAATGTTTTATCCCTAACAAGACCAGTATTCGGATCTTATACTGTTGAAGCTTTTGAGGCTTTCCGAAGACGAATAAAGCGCACTACCTGGGCATAATACATATTTTTAAAAAAAGTAGGGCATAAGGCTAGTGGCACGATCAAGAGGTAGTCCAGCTGGTGAAGGTACAGTGTCGGATACCATAAGTGACCGCCTTACCAAATCTCAAGAGTTAGGTGACTGTATTGCGATGGTGGTTTACCCCTCGGTATTTGTGAGGCGCCACTTTTTGTATTTTTGAATTAGCTTTCTTGTACCACCTTGGGTAAGCTGGCCTTTGAACCATGCCAGTAGCCCAAACACCTTCTCTCTGCTGAATACATATTCTGCCCTAGCATTGTGTCTTCTTTTGTCTTCAGGAAAGCCATGGGACGCTACATTACACTATTGTTAGCTTTTGTTATTAAACGCAAAATGATAAAGGAGTTAACAGCAGTGTATTAAAGTTACTATATTAATGCCTGAGCAAGTTTTTTGGCAGTGATACACTGTTAGCTTGGGATCTATGTTCAGAGTTAAACAGGAACACAAGTGATTAGGACAACGAATCTTGTGTACGAAAGCAGTCATATTTATTCATATACGTGATTTTCTCCTTCTATCATATATGCGGTGATTAAAGAAGTTTGAACCGAAGCAGAAAGGAAAAAAATATTTTACTCATATGTCACTTTTAAATAATCTTGTAAGTAATTTTTAAATAACACAATTGTCTTAATTGTTTTTCTCTTAGAGATGAAGGAAGACTTTGATTATTTTGGTCTGTTTCGTACATTCGATTGAGGTTTTTAGGCATTTGTTCGGATAAAAATTAAGACACATATTATGCTTTAAAGTGCCTATTTTAATTACAATGACGTTTTTGTGTTTATTAGCAGTGGACATCTGATTTGTTCCGATTCTTACTTTTACTTTGTGTACTTAGCAGTGCGTCCTTTAAAGGCTTCAAAATGAGTCCTGACTAGTAGGTTCTTCGCTTACAATTGTGCTATATTCCTTTTGCCGCTTGTCAAACGAAGTTAATTTATTTCTTTTAGTGACTACCTCTTTAAACTTCTCCTTATTGGTGACTCAGGCGTCGGAAAATCCTGTCTTTTGCTGCGATTTTCTGTAAGGCTGTGACGTCATCCTATTTCCCTTTTTAGGATGATAGCTTCGTTGATACCTACATTAGCACTATTGGTGTAGACTTCGTAAGAAACTGGGCCTAGTTTATTTTTTTTAGAAAATAAGGACGTTAGAGCTTGATGGAAAAGTTGTTAAGCTTCAAATATGGGACACTGCTGGTCAAGATCGTTTCAGAACTATTACTTCATCGTACTATCGTGGTGCACAGGGAATTATTATTGTTTACGATATCACTGATGAGGTGAGTGTATTTTTAGGGATCAATGTTCTGCTTGACTTACCTAAACAATCCAGTCGTGTGCCTTGAAATATTACCAGTTGCATTAAGGTTGTTCATTTAAAACTTGCGCACAACGATTCACTGTACGTATTCCTACCCTACAATCATGCATTCACCGCTAGATACCAATTGGTGAACTTCATCGTAGAGAATTTTGTTGGTGTTTGATGTGTTCCCAGTTGTCCTCTATGAATTAGTTTGGTGTCTCAATCTTGCTTACTGGATTTATTTTGCTTGATTTTAGGCTTCATTCAATAATCTGAAATCTTGGCTTTCTGAAATTGACTGTTACGCCAATGCTTCAGTGAACCGACTTTTAGTGGGAAACAAATCTGATCTTGACTCTAAACGAGCTGTTTCTTTTGAGGATGGAAAGGTACTACAGCACTTGCAATTTTTTGTCTTTATTTGGACTTTTCAAAATTTTGGTGCGTTCAGTTTCTGTTAGCCATTCTCACTGTTGGTTGTCCTCGATATACAAATCAAACGTTTACCTACCCTTTAATGTGATAATTGGAAATTTTGACACTGGGTAAAGTGCAAGCATATATATATGCGTCAATTATCCGATTGTGTTATTTGTCACTGCCTAGAGTTACGAAACTGCATATTTCTAAATATATGCAGCTTACATGCTCTAGTCGTTTTTGATGATGCCCATTCGTTTTAGTACACCATACATTGGGTTTCAGTCTTACACTGTTATTCGAATATTGTTGTCATTAATCGCGTGCAGATCACATTTGTTGAATTTACTTAATATGTGGTTCCTTTATGTTGACGGTCTTCCAGGATTCCAAGTAAATTTTTATAATGTCACAGTTTTTGGTTTGGATGGTCCACCTTCGGAAACCGAGCGTCTTCGACTCGTACTTTCCTATTATGATTTTGAGTTTATTACAATTACGACAACCTCTTTTCCCTATAATGTTGGCATGTTTTGTTTGGGGTTTTCTTGGTTGCTTGTTTGGCATGGTTAATGGGCTTGTGATAAACATTTGTGAAGATCCTTAGCTTAATCGATTGCTCGCCATTCTGTTGAATGAGATGGAATGTTTGATAGGTGCTGTTTAGATTGGCTTCAAGATAAAGTAAGCACCATCACATAGCATTGCTTGAAACGGTAGATGATTCTGTGTCGTATTTTGTACAAAATTTAATGTGCTTAATATATTTTTAAGGGAATTTTCATAACTGATGGTAAAGTGCTTTTTCAATTCATCAAAACGGTTAGAATGTTAGTTTTTGCCAATTTTAGAAATTTGCTGATAGTTTGGCGATTCCTTTCATGGAGACCAGTGCCAAGACTGCTCATAACGTGCAGGAGGCCTTTATAAAGATGGCAATGCAGATCAAAGAGAGCAGCCCCAATGTACCGAGCGCTGCTGCTGTGACACTCACGGTGGGATCTACTACACCCATCAAGAAGGAGAGTGGATGCTGCTAAGTCGTTATCTCTCTCCCCACCATCTCATTTCTCCTCTACGCATACACAGGCAGGCATCCTTCGTAGCTTCATTCCACTTACCTTGTGTGTGTGTACTTTTCATTGACATCCTTTCTTGCCACTTCTACTCTCTTCCTCTCCTCCTCTAAATTGCCATAACAACGTGTACAGCAACAAAAATTTACACATCAGTCTTTGCCTCATCACCACCTCAAAGACTGATTTCGTGTGCTCTATCGATTGTCTCTTTTCCTTCCTCCAGTCTTTTCCCCTCTTCAAACAGGATGTGCTTGTCTCTGTTTTCGGTCACTTCTTTCTTTCTCTAAATAGAACTTGACCTTCGAGCTCGTTTTTTCCCTCTTATCTGTTTAGAAACGCGTGTGTGTACGCTTGCCTCATGTGATATTGTGAGAGATTTACCCATTCATCTCCAGAATGGTTTTTAAGTCGTCTTGATTACAGGACTTGAGGTTTCGTTGGATCCCATGAATTATATTCAGAAGGCCAAACGATAACAGGGCTTGAATCTGTTTGTGATTCTGTCTTTATTTTGTTGACGAGTGGGTCACCTGCCTTGAAGTAATTTTATGGCAGACGGTTCTTTGAAATGGTGACGTCTACATTTTATCGCACAGGAATTCCTATGCGTATGCTTGTTATTCTGGCTGTAAAACGCATTATCTTAAACGGCCTCTACTAGGACGGATTACATGTATTTTCAGTTCCGTGAGCGGGGTTGAGTCCAAGGGAGTCATATTCAGAAAGGAAGTGTTGAGAACAAAGGGGCTTTGAGACCTCTCCCATTTGTTCAAACCATTCATGCGCGAAATGAGTGCGGTTTTTCGATTACATTATCTGGACCGCAACAGACATTATTCCCAGAATTGTGCGAATACTTTTCTGCAATCCAGAACGGTGCTGTGATAGTCCGCTTGAATGGTTTACTTATTTTGAGTTTACTCGACTAGGATAAATGTTCCTTTTTTAATGGGTTCTTCTACAACTGTACTTGAGCTTCCACTGACACGTATGAGGTGATCAATAGGTGCACCTTTGTGTGAGTGTGTGTGTGTGTGCTTACGTGGAATCAAGTGCTGTCTGTAGCTTGCTTCATGTGTGAGCTTATGGCGCTTCTCCTGCATGCACGTAGTCATTTAACCAGTATAATTCGTACATGCGCAAGTTGCTATCGTTATATGTCCTTTCTTCATAAATAGAGTTTTTGAAACTTTTTCACTCATGATATTCGGCGATTACGAAAGACGTCTATACCACGTAGTGCAGGTTCAAGCATATCTGCTTGAACCTAAATATCGCTGCGAATCGTGCACACGTGTATATGGTACGTTGAGGTCACTCAAAGGTCAGTTGTTTTGGAATTGCAATCAGCCGCATAAATCATTTGCGTCTCTTGGTAGTATTCACCACTTTACTCCACCGTTCTCACAGTCTGCATCCTTGCATTGTTCTATTTCATGTTTAACTTCACCGGGTTTCCTCGACAGGAATCCCCCGGGTAACGTTATTTTGATTCATGTCAACACTTATCTAATGCTCTTTGGACTTTCGGATTGTTTTCTTCATTGTCGTGCCATAAAATCATTCTCTTGTACATTTATCCGGTTACGGACTAGTCGACTGTTTTCAGTCATGGCTCTTTGGATTTTTTAAATCAAAGGTGTCACACACCACAATCTAACATATAATTGTTTGTATTAGAAGCGTTACTGTAGTGCGTTTGATGGAGCTGACATCATGTTCAGTAGTTAAAAGGCGCGGAGAACCTTCAAGTCATTCAAGCCCAAACCTATTTTTGTATTTCAATATCCACGACTTATGTTTCATTGCCCTATACTGAGACATTATGCTAGAATACCCTTTCAACTGTCCATCGAGATGCGTGCATGGCTGTCATTTACGTGAAAGCTAATGACCCTCAAAACTTGTCGATTCCTTAATGCTTCGAGTGTTTATAATCTTACTGCTGCTTCTGGTGTTAATTCAGCGTGTATTTGTAGTATTTTAGTAAGTCTCTGGCAAATAGTTAAGCTGTCGTCATTGCAGAAATCTTTTATTTCCGTGTATATGTGCTAATTTTTTAGTTTGCCATTGTTATTTAGGCCGTGTGCATATGTACAGGGTTTGAGTCGACAAATCCTCACTGGCTGCCTTTTGTTGCCTTTTAGTGTGGGCCGCGGATGTGATGTGTCATAAATGGCTTCGTTTCCTGATTCCTCGGTTTGTCAGACAGTTACTCGGGGGTCGAGTTGCAGCAGTCGCTGTGTCTCTTTCTTCTTCGCCCCCTTCGAGGCTATACTCCTCCACCTCTGATAATCCCTCCCACAAGGCGAGCCTTGTTGCGCCGCCACAGGAACCACGGCAATTCTACCGCCGTCCCCTCCCTGCATCCTGCATAGCTTTCGGCACCGCGGAGGGACGGCAACTCTTCAAAGAGGCGCTGGAAATGGGTTTTTTGGAATGCTTTTTCGATTTGGTTCCTCAACTTCGAACGCAAGTTAGTTTCCAGACTGGACTAAATCGTATCTATCATATTACACTAGCTTCGTTGGGAAAGATCTTAAGGCTTTACTTCCACCGAACTAATCTCTATCACTAGACTGAATGAGTGTATATTTATTTGAAGTTCAGAAAACTCGGAGGTGATTCTGGCTTATTGTTGCGGTTGAATCACTTTTAAATGTACTATGTACCAGAAGAACATGCACCTTCTCTATCATTACGGAGATGTAGTCTTTGCATTCTGAGTATATCCGTAGCCGAATGAATTGTCTATTCTGGGTGGGAATTGGCTGATGGTAGCTCAATTCTAACGTCCCCCTCATGTGTGGTATGAATTTGTCCTCATCAGGTGAGAAGTTGCCTTATATACATGCAAACCACGGGTTTTTTTGCCTAGAGGTTCTTTACTTCATTCACAATTTCATTTTCAGTTCTAAAGCTGGCAATTTTAGCAGGTCATTTTGAAGTGTTTTTTTAGAAGCTCTAGCATAATCAAAGTAAAAAAATATTCCATAATTCTCAAATACTAGTGCTGTTCCGTATTTTCTGCACTTTAAATCCTGAACTGTCAATGCCATTCCGAAAAATACACTCATGGCTTCAATATACTTAGTGTATATTTTAACCTAAGATAAGCACTTTTTTCTTTTCAAAAACGTTAATTCAGGAACTATCTATCAAGGTTTCTTTAAAACATTTGAAATGTTTAACCGTTGGCTATCGCATTAAAATTGCTTCAAGAAGCCCTTTGAATACCCCTAAGTGTTTCCCTTCTGTTTGTACATAGCTGCTTTGGCTAATTTTAATTGTTCCCTATGCATTTTAGTCCTGTGGTTCGCCGTTACCCGTCAAACTTGTTTCGTTTTACTTTATTGTCTCTAAAATTCGATACGCATGCGGGCTGAGACGTTATGCTGAAATGTTGATGTCATCATAAACGTTTCTAGTGGAATAAATTTTTAAATAAAGTCATGTGGGGAAACCCCGCTCCTGCACGAAGACTTCATTCTTTTCTTACAGAAAACGTACTTTCTAAGTAGTTTTCTGCCTTTGCAAGTTCCTATTTAACTTGAATATCACCTGTTTGGGTATCTCGTAACATTTGTATGCAATAGGGGGGCAACTTATATAGTTGAACGATTCACACTGGATGGGGCGTATATTACCTGCAATTTTGATGTTCATTTAACCTTACATTCGGCTTATGTAGGGACATTATTTCTTTACTTTGGTAATATCATCAACTTAGCTATTTAGGTCACATTTCCGACATACTCACTTGAAAAGCTATAGTCTTGTTAATCGGATGTCTTTCTGACTCTCTTATGAGCCCGGCCCCTCCTTGAAGAGATAATTCAATGATGAAAGTTTTTCGTGCATTCTCTGCAGGTGCAGCCATCCTACTGCGGTTTGTCGGCGATGGTGATGGTGCTGAACTCGTTTGAGATGGACCCGGGCCGAGTGTGGAAGGCGCCATGGCGCTGGTATCACGAGGACATGCTCACCTGTTGCCTCTCCTCGGAGGATCTCCTTACCCACGGCATCACTCTCGATCAGTTCCAGTCTATTGCCAAGTGTAACGGACTCAATGTGAGTCCTGACCTCTCGTTTATGAAAATTCATTTTGAAACTTGTTGCTTTGTAAAAATTCTGACTGTTTCAAAAACCTTCAAGGACAATTGTTTAACGAAGTTTTAGGGCAATCGATTAATGTCAAACTCTTAGGGAGGGTAGAAGAGGTGAAAGTTGTTGCTAGTCTGTTCATTAACCTCAGTTGATAAGCGCTGTGCAGATCAGGGCAGGGGTTTGATACTGAATGGTATATTTCTAGGCGTCCCCCATCTTCTCTACTTATTTAGAAAATGGCCCAACTCTCTTAAACCGAAAAGTGGTGTAAGTGGTTGGAAGCCTATTTCCGGAGACATGAAAAAGGTGTAAAATTACTAATGCAGATAATTATATCTACAGTAAATATCGAAAAAGTTTAATGAATAAATACGTGGCCCTGGAATCTTGGATTATGATTGGTAGAATTTCGTTGGATTTTACTCAAGACCTCGATAATATTTTCTACTATTTTTGAGAATCTTCGTGCTTTTGCCAAAAAACTCAATTCGACTGGTTAAGCTGCTGTAGCGTCGAGGTGGTTGTGCTTTATTGAGTCAAAACTGGTATTTCAAGATCTATTCAGATGGTGCTTTTCTGCCTAAATTCACGTTTCTTATAATTGATGGATTTCATATTTTTCCTGCATTATTGACGCCCATTTTGTGCTTTCCGGCAAACCTATTTTCTTCTCAAAAACACCACAGTAAGTAAAGTTAAGCTTGATGAGCAGACATTAGTATTTGGAGAGGAAGGATTTCCATGATTTTGCTGAGTTTATCAAAGCTTTGAGCGCTCATACCCATAAACCAAGATCCCCAACTGATTTTTCATTATTGACAACGCGTTATGTCGTAGTAAAAGTACCTTAATTCATACATTCTTTTATTTGAACAAAATCACGGAAATCAGCAAGTTTATATTAATTTGTTACTTACCACTTTTTACCATTTAAGTTTGAATGGTCAATACCATCCAAATAAAGTTTTTATCTTTCACTTCGATAAACAAGTTGCGCATCCGAAGCTTTCGCCACAATCAAATGTACAAAAGCGGAAAGGTGTTCTACAAAGCGATGCAGAATTCGTTTCAAATTTGTGCAGTGTTGCAAGTTAGGTAAACGGGTAACTGCTTAGTTGGTCTCATTTTTATATAACCTAAGTATTCAAACCCACCTATCTTTTTTTTTTACCTCGACCAAATGCTCTTCTTGTTCTCGGAACACTTTTATTTATCACTTCTCAGATTAACGAACGTGATACCCGTTAATCATTCTAAAATCAACACCATTGTCTCTGGTTTCTTCTACGCAAATTTGAGATCTTATTTCCTGAAATATTCATTTGGTAATGTTTTCTGTTTGTTTTAACTCGTTCCCTAGGTTGATCTGCGACAGCCGACCTCACCAGGCGAGACAGTGGAAACTTTTCGATCCTCCCTCCTGAACATCTGCTCTCAGTCTCTCTCGACATCGGGCACGATTTTAGTGGTCTCCTATGACCGCAAGGCGGTGAAGCAGACGGGGAATGGGCACTACGCGTTGGTGAGCGGCTACCACCCAAAGCGCGACCTCATTCTTGTACTCGAGACTGCAGCCTTTAAGTACCCCTCCCATTGGGCGCCCCTCACCGCCATCTACAACGGTATGTGCTCCCTTGACAATGTAACTGGTCGCCCACGTGGCTACATGTTCATCACCAAGGCCTTCCACGCTCGGACCGGCCTCCTTTCCCCTTACCCACACGGTCCTGCAGCTCCAGACGCGGATGCGCGAGATCCCTCTGCTCAACAGCCCCTCTCCGCCAACGATCCGCCCTCTGCACTAGCTAAAGTCGCGCCCTACGTCAGTCAACTGATCAACCAACTCACACTCTTCTGCCTTCCTGATACCGTCTATCAGGTGTCTTAACTTTTAAATAATTTTAATGGACATGCTGTAAAAAATGTACAGATATAGCTGCCAAAATACATAAAATAATTTGCATCATTACTTGGGTAAAATGCATATGACTAGCTCTTTTTCTCATCGTCGTTTGCATTTCGATTATATCGTTGGTGGAGGTGTGAACGATCAATTTCACGAAGTCTCATTCGATATTATTGTGGTTTCCGCAGTTTAATATTATATGTTTAATTACATATTCTTGGTAGGCACATTTGAGCCATACCTTTTGCTAGACATATAAGCGCATGAAAATTTTCAAATCCTGAGGAAATCTTGGCGCCTTTTAGGCATTTTCTTCTTCTGCTTCTCTGCTGGACCTGGAAAGTGCCGGTGGTCGCCTGCGTGCAGTCGCAGATGAGTGGTCAGCTTACCTCAGCTCGACGTCACTAGAGAGCTTGGGGAAGACGTGCTGCTGCCTCCTGCAATCCCACAATCAAGAGCGAGGTCAGAGTTTGAGTCGAGGTCAACGGGAGCCATACTCAGCCTTAGGGCCCGGGAACTGCTCACCCATTCTTACATCCACCTCACCGCCCCAAATTGGCCCTGCGCATCGCTGTGATTGTCCTTGCCTCGTGGATATTCTACTCGACCGGCTTCTCGCTCTTCTTGTCAAACACCGGCCTCCCAACTTCTTCTTCAGCTGCCAGCCTCTCTGGGCCGAATCCAGTCCCAGTGCCTCTTCCACCAACGAAACTGCCACACAGGTCTGTGTCCTTGGAGTCGCTCCCGAGTGAAAGCCCACCTTCTTTCACAGCGGACACTTTCGAGATTATCCATTTGGAATTACGAAAGTGAGCTGTTTTAGGTTTCTATTTAACTCTTACAGTTTTGGTGATGCCGTCCAAGATAGTGCGATTCACGTTTAACATATCAGTTTGTAGCTCAGTTTTTCAGATTCTGGGCAACCCGGTTAACACAACCTTGAGGGGTGTGCAAGTGAATCGTGTCATCCCGGTCTTACAGGTCCGTGTAGTGTATTTCTTGCATCTCAAGGTGGTATTTGAGCTGGTGTCATCGGCCGCAGGTCGACGAGCTCGACTGGCGTTAGAACGACTGCAACACCGATCCTATGAGTGGCTGACCTCAGACAGTGGGGGTCCGCTGACCTACCGCGCGGCGCCGACTTCAGGGTTGGGGTTGAGAGGAACGGTGGCAGCGGCTGGAAGCAGTGTCCCCTATCGCCGCCCCGCGTGCGCGTTGCCTCTTGTTACGGACCCGAAGATTCGCGCCACATCCCTCCTCACTGCCTTTCTCCTTGCCTTCCCCTACCACACTGTTCCGCACCGTTCCAGCACTACCGGCGACGCAACCACTGCAGACGATGGTGGTAGCGAGCAAGCCCTCGTGGGGGTCCTGAAAAGTTCCCACCATTTGCTCTACCACCTGCCTCTCCTGCCAGGTCAGACGTGCTTCGCTGTACTTACACCAGGCACGCGCAACGAGCTCACTACCCTCTCTAACATCCTTGCCCAACTTGTGACCACCCGTCGGTCCCCTGGCAGTCGCTGCATCGAAAATGCGGTAGATTAAGTCACATCTCCCTCCTCTCTTCACCTACTCATTATATGAATGTACTGTACAATTTTCCTCTTTTTCGTTAAGCCATTTTCCCACTCTTGCTGTTGTTATTGCTCCGATGGTGTGTAACTCCTTGGCATTTATTACTGCAAACCGTTGTGTGGACTAAATTATGACTGAGTCAGGCGAAATAAATGCCTCCTATCTGCCTCGATGGGCCAAAGGTGGCCTCTCAATTCGAACTCTCTGGATTTTGCAAATCATAATCCCATTATTGTAAAAAAGCACTTTCTCACTCAACGTTCGGCCCAATGTGATTTATTGATGAAGACTTTTCATGCCTTTAGACTTCAGCTTTTGCCCTTTTCAATTTGGTCTCCGACCGCATTTCTGTTGGAGCTTTTCCAGGTTCCAATGATTATGACTGTATATCCCAATGTGTTATAAAGAATAAGAATATTCGCTGATAAATTTGTACTACTAGCCTTTGCATTACGGGACACTTAAGGGCACCCGACCACTGCTAAGTAACCACCGACTGATGTACAGCTGTTCTATCCACAAAACCAGTTTCCGATTAAAAGTAGTACCTTAGGTACGTATGAGGCCTCTGTCTGATTCCCCTAGAAAAACTAGGTAATTTTTTGGTGCCTCCGTAGGCAGTCAAATTTTACAGAGTGAATCTCTTTGATGGAAAGGAGAGTTTTAAGATGGGGAATTGAGGCTTTCCTCATGGAGCTTGCAGGCCAACTCTGCAATGCTGGCGAGAAAGCCTTCTGCGTTGTCACTGGCACCGTCAAAGGTGGCGACCATCTCGACCAGACGATCATGCGGGTAAAGGTTGTCATCGTTCCCAAGGAGGTGAAGCAGACAGAGGCACGTAAGACTGGCTTCATGTGGCCGCAGGTGTAGGTTCTTGCTCGTGAGGTTGAATTTGGCCACCACGTTCTGCAGCTTCTCATACACCGATGGCAAAGGGACCTCCAAGCGAAATAGTATCTTCTTCAAACTAGATTGGAAGGAGTATCAATTAGTTTATATTGTGAGGATAATTACATGATCAAAAGAACACGAAAGGCCTCGATTCACAGCGATGTTTGCTCGATCACTGGTGTGGATGCCCGCGACCCAAGAGATAGTGTTTTTAGTCCCAAGTTCTCGTATTTTCTGCAAGTTCATTCACTCGAACTTTTTGAAACATTCAGTGGTTCCTCCTATGAGCCCCTCCGATTAGTCAATTATGGTCTGGATACACTCTGGGTGCGAGGATGCAACTACTTCACGACGACTCAACACTTCAGTCTGTGAACACACGTAGACATCGGGTCCTAGGTGTACATACGTCGCCGGCATTAGAGACCTCGTTTCCTCGATGTCTCACCTCTTGGATGATCACGACGGTTGGAATCTCGATAATACCCGTGCTCACGCTAAAAAAGCCAGTTCATAACAGCTACTGAATAGTAATGATGAATGCACATCTAATTTTGCGCCTCATGGCATGAGAGCATTTTGTGTGGAATAAAACATAACTACGCAATAAACTTAAATGCTAGAGTTGTATACCGTTAGTAGACCAGTAAATACCATTTACATGCAGGACAAACCTATGAAGTGATGGAGTTGCTACACTGCTGCGGCGGCGCGATTCCACCAACTCGAGAGCAGGCATATTAAAAAAGGGAAATGTAGTACAATCATGTTTACCTCGGCAAAAGGGACTCCACCAACAGGCGGAGACGGTAGCTGCGCTGGGATACTGAATCAACTAGAGGCATTACCACTGGAAGAGGCTGGAAAAAGTGAGCAAAAAGGCTGAGATGATTAATCATTTTTATGTACAATAGGGGTATATCATTCCACCCCAAGAAGATTCTAAACATTAAAATACCCTTTGAAATAGCAACCAGTTATACCCTCCACTGACGTTTTTACTCAAATTTTGCAAATTAACCTCTATAGTCCCACAATCCTCGTGCGAACTAAAAGTGTAGCAGTCACAAGGGAAGGTACTGACCTTTTTCTCATATAAAAGTGGAGATGGTGATTGAGGAATGGCTGAAGTACACGATTCCTTGTTGAATAGGACCTCCACAGCCTCCTTCGTCAACCATTCTTGAAGTCGAGCCAGAACAATATCTGCAGGAGTGGTCTTAACTTCCTCTCTAACCTTTCGCCTCTCGATAGTGATCTGCTTCGGTGAGCTCTTGGCTCCGGATTCAGCCATATTCCTCCGTTCGGTTAATTCGGTCGAAGTTAACTGAGGAATAGTTTCATTCCATGGTATGGGGCTCTGTTTAACTCTTCGATTCTCCACCTCATCCACATTTTCATCCAACTCTGACGAGCTACTTCCTGTATCTGCCTCTTTGTCGGACATGTCACCTCCTTCACCCTCCTCCTCAGACGAGGAAAATTCATCCTTCTTGCTTTCGTTCTGAATGTCATCGTTCAGTCGAAGATGGTAAAGTGCATCCAAGATCGTCTTTCCCGGTCGACCGGGCGCATTGGGTGGGAGGAATTTGATACCGAGCATCGGACCGGTGGGCAGGGGTCGACACCACGCCGGCTCTGTGGGGATTTGACGGCGCAGGTAGCATGACGCACGATAGCACCAGTCAGAACAGAAGTACTGTAAATGTCGAAATAAACACTCTACTTAAATTGCAAGTGAAACGATTCTCAACTCCTACTACCACTTTGAAACTGCATCAAATCCAAAGGACTTTACCCACTAGGGGTGGGATACTAAGTTCGAGCTCTTATTGGTACTTAGTTAATTAGTTCCCTGAAGTAAACGTTTTTTTAAAGAATGAGACATGAAACCAGAAAATAATTGACTTTGAACCAAAACTACTACATAGATGACCTTTCATCGAAGTAAGGCACTGAACTGCAATTGGTGACTGGTTTACTATGCTCTGAATGAAAAGAATATCACCCGAATGTAGGACATACTTAGGCCCGCATAGAAAATAAATCACATCTGGAGAATTCATGCTTCACAAAAAGGCTAAAAAAATTATACCATTTCGAAAGAGTCACATTGTCGTGGTCTAGTTGTGGCGTATGGGAGATTCAAGTCGCAAAAATTACTTTTACACACACACACACACACCTTTCGATCGCCAACCTCGTAGACACGACGTCTGGCGACAGAGATGCGATACTGCTGTTTAAACTGTGTTGCCGACGCGGGTTTTGGACAGAGGGGGTAGCCGCAGTTACCGTAACCGATGCGCTCAACGGGGATGTCATCGTACTGCTCGCGCTCCAGCCAAGGCAGCTGCGAGGGAAGCAACCATTGAAAGAAAACAGTGGCGCTATTCTTATCCACTTTTAGGTAACAGTAGCCTACTTTAAACCAGCTGGTGTGATATTGCTTTAGTGGAAGTGATAAATGAAGTTATGTAGTATGTCATGGTATATTTTCGGCTTTAGCGATTAAATTACAAACTTATCCAACCGATAAAACGGTAAAGCTAAATTAAAAATTGAGGGAAATTGGTGAAATTAGGTGAGAGCTTACTGCAATTGCAACCATTTCTTCAGAAACGGGATTCATACCAAACCGCTCCACAATAGTGAGAGCGTTCTTCAAACAAAGTGCTTTCCGCCGGCGAGTTGTGTCGAAATCCGCCCTTGATGCTTGGAATGGCCCCTTGTCTGCTTCTTTCGACTCCCTTAATTCAAATTCCTCGGCCATTCAAACACGGAGAATACTAAAATGCAACCGATCGAAGAGGTGCTCTGTACCTCATTTGTGCTTCCAACAAACAAAGATAGCCATAGTGAAAAAGAAACGAAAAAAAAGTATTTGGCCATGAAGGTTGGCGCAAGTAATCGTGCAACCCTGACGACGGCATTTAGAACAAAGGGAGCAAAAGCTTTTAGTGAATAGGTGCCATAAAATGCACGTAGAATCAACTAAGAGGGGAATAAGTAAACAGCGGTAGATACTGATTGATAAGATTGAAAAAAGGGGATAGGAGACCAGCACAATACGTCCTAATTTAGTGGATGGCTGCGTTTGGAGGATCCAATCAATTATCACAGGATTTTCCGCTAATGACAGCCGGTACTCAGAATAAAGAGCTGACAAAATTTATTAGTAACCAGGAATGCATGCAACATTCTACTTTTTAACCACTGTTGTGCATATTAATGATTCGTTGTTGACTTGATAGTTATACCAGAGCATATCCTAAACAGTTTGGAAAGACACCAGCAGACAATCAGAGACGAATACGGGATGAATTAGTCGCAAATATCTTTATTGGACTCAGAGGGAGGATAGGAGACAAGGGCAACGAGGGAGCACTGGAAGCAGTGAGCGTAGGGTACTTGAGCTAGGGCAGCGACACCTTCAAGAATGAATTCGCCGCCGCACCGACAGGGCGCCATATATATTTCAGAAGGATCGATAGCAGTGTGGACATCATTGTCGGCGTCATTAGTGTGACTAGCCTTGAAGTCAGCCCAGGAAATGGTACAGTGAAGGGGTGCGGACGCAGCCTCCTGTAGACGCGCTTGACGCAGCGCAGCGTCATAGCGCCGTCGGCTTTCCGCCTCGCCGAGGACACACCAAGCGCGTCCCAACGCCTCAAAGCGTGCTCGTCGCTTTGCCCGCTCTTCTGCCGCCAGACCCACGCACTTGTCCGGATGACATTTCAGCTGTTGTGCCCGCAGCGCCGCTTTCAACTTGGCCGCATCCACTGTCGCCTCACAACCCAGTAAGTTGTAATAGTCCTCCTAGACCAGCACACACATCCATAAGCCTACTTCACATACGCAGAGGCCCACGCCAATAAGGTGAACTTTTTGGAAGCATAGCTAAGGAGAAGCTAAACCTACCGCAACTGGTAAACATTAAGTAAAGGCATTTTAGTATGTTCGAAATCATTCCGCCAGTCAGAATTCAATACACTATTCAATGTAAACACTGCTAGAAATAGGTACAATGCCTACAAACACAGGTCAAAGTCCAGCATGACAAAGGGTTAGGACAATATTCACATCAATCAACGAAACCAAAAGACAGGCCCGAATAGGAGAGCTACTAGAAGTGTCAAAACTTCATACAAAATGCACTTCATTTGATTAAAATGGGAGCAAACGAGTAGACTTTATGTACATATATCAGTCTGATTCCTCTTCACTGGTATCACAGTCTTCCACGGCTTCGGGTTTGGCTCCTTCTAGACGGGTGAGGGTGGGGAAGACGGTATTCGTCTTTGACTCCTTCCTGCCATCATTATCTGACTCGTCTTCGAGATCGGAAGAGCTAATGTAATGCTCGCCGTGGGCATTGGTGATCGAGTAGGAATGAGAACAGCAGCCATCGCCGTGGTGATCCTTGTGCTCACCGTCTTCATCCTCTTCGGGCTGCCCTCGATGCTTCTGCTTGGCCTTGATGGCGGCGATGCGGGAAAGGAGGTCCCTAGCCATCTTGAAGACGCCTTTCGTATCCTCAGTGCAGGCGTAACACCGGGTCGTTTTCTTCAATCGCTTCAACGCACACGCCGAACAGAAGAAGTGCTTACAACTAAGTGTAAAGCAGAACAATACATGCCTATGAATATTATTTCGTAATGATGGAAGAATCACAAGCGAGGTTTTCCACAGTTTCATTACATTAGCCCACAGGAGATTAAGAGTCCAACATTCAGTTCCATGATAACGAATGAGTGTGACCTACGAAATGCATGGCAGCATTAGAGGAGTTCAAAGTTATATGAACTAAGTAACTTTTGAAACGAACCTCGTCACAACCGGATCCTTGAAGTCCTCACGACAGATGATGCATTTGAGAGGGAGGTGTAAATCGTCATCTTCATCTTCATCAGATTTGATTTCGTAACGGTCATCATTGCCCTCAATGCCATAGGTGCCCTCAGCAAATTCTTGCTCCAGCTGCCAACCGTGCTTGTAATCTGACCGGTCGTGTAGGAATTTGCAGCTGTCACCGAAACTACAGAAACCTGTTTCTTTGTAGTCCTATAGAGAGGAAAGATAGAGAGAAGAAAGATAAACAGACCTTGCAAATATCCGGCTGATAGTCCCATCGCACAGTAGCTCGCAGGTGCGCTGGTGCGCGCATGGGACCCTTTCGATTGAAGCCGCTCGCCGCGTTGCCCATCACAGTATCTTTCTTCTCAAGATATTGAGCATAATTGTTTATTCCTCGATAAACCTTGTCTTGGTTCGATTTCACCTCCTTGTTGATTTCTTGGGATTTGATGAAGAGCGCCTGAGCATCATGCGACGTCTCAGTATCGATTTCCAGAGTCGCAGTTGCTCTTTGGTCCTTCGGTCCGCTTTGAGTCTAGGCCAAATAATAAAAGAGTGGGGCTGCCAAGGTACATAATCAGTTCACAATAGTTCGTTCAAGCAGAGGAACACACAAATCAGATAAGCTTCTGTAAATAGCTAGGATTTGAGGTCAGTGCTAGTGAAATGAAATTAGACAAAACACTTAATTGGATTGCATTTTCCCTAAAAATACAATTCCCCATGGACGGCCAAAATATCCCCATTGCGGTTACTAAGCTGATTTGGAAGTCCATGCTACACGAGCTGTCAAGGCAACTATATATCCACTTGCACTCATGAAAAACAGATTTTACATCAATTACACGACAAGAGAGGTGGAGTACAGCACTTTGTTTTGGAATGTTTCGATGGAGCAACATCGGATGGGCAATAAAATGCAATTATTATGACAGAACCAAGCGGAAAAGTGAATAAAGAATTGAACTTTAAAGAGCTCTGCTTGTCATACATTCGAACGATGTAAAGAAAATTCATTTAGTACATTAAATAAAAGTGAAGTCTAACTAGTGCTTATATAAAACGACACAAAGCAAACCATACCGGTACGTTTTTAAACATGAAGCGAAAGTATACGACACAACATACCGCATTGTAGTCAGCCTTGAATGCTACACTAGTCAGATCATCATCAGACTCTTCATCCAGGCCCGTTTTTCGTTTCCCAGCGAAGTACACAGTCTGCTGGATCAACGGATTCGACCCCACACGCTCCTTTTTTCTCACAATCCTAACGTCATCATCACCACTTGATGAGTCTACAAACATATAAATTGAGCTGTTCGGACCTTCTTTGGCACGCGTAGCTGTCCTTCTTTTTTTCTTGATGAAAACGCAAGTTGCCCCCCCTTCGGACATTGACCATACAAAAGCGGCAAACAAAACACCAGCAAGACCCAAGTGGGCCGCCTTACTTTGCAAATACCTTAAACAAACCCAATAACTTGCACCAGGTTTGCTTAGTAAATAAAAATTATTTTTTTTTTGTTGGCGAATTTTTGTTCGTCAAGCTGCAATGTGTGAAGATTTAGCCGAGATTTTAATATGTACTGTTATCCTATGGCTAAAATGTGGGGAGGCTTACACGCCGCAAATTTACATTGGAATCTTTCCGCTCAGACTTCCCCAACAATGGAACATTGTTTCTCATGTTTTGGATGTGTCTTTTGGTTACAGAAAACTCAGTTTAGTTATAAGTTGTTAATAGCCATGCAACGGACTCAATGCCTCTGCTTAGGGGAGGGTTACATTACATTTGCCGAGTGGACTAGCCGCTGGGCCATGCCATTGGCCCTAGACCCTACTCTATGCTGAATATATGTATTGTGCTCCAGTGAAATGTCTCCTTTCGTCTTCAGCTAAGTCTCAGGCGCCACAAGGATATCTTCTATTCAAGCAGCAACGTGCGTCTTCCATAGGGGTTAAAGGCGTCAGCTAGTCACGTGGTAGGCATAAACTGGGTCGCCTCTCATCTAAAAGTCATGTTTAAACAAAGATGTATTACAATCGCTGCTAAGAAGGCAATTAAAGCAAGATAAGAGGAATTAAAAATTTAAAAAATGGATGAAAACGCCATCGATTTGCACTTTTTATGCATTAAACCGTAGTGGTCCGATAATTTCGTAACTGTATCCGGAGCTGTGTGAGTCCTTCCTGCCCCAATGCTTGTCCTTCCAGCAATACAGTCTATGAGTCATCCTAGCAGCTTTCCAGCCCTCCTGCAAATCCTCCTTCATCCTGGTGTGTTTTATTACAACTTCAGCGAAGATTCGACACGCTATAAAGCAGGTAAGAGAATACATCCAGGTCGATGTTTTAACAAGTTCCCCTTTACGAAACGCACTTTTTTACATAATTGCCACATCTGCACAAACGCTATAATGTTTCTTAAAACAAGTTCATTTGACAGTAATGGTCTTAGAAGATTATTTTTTATTTTTGCCTGCATAATAACCGCCTAAGTTTCCTTTTGTAACCCATGTCGTACTTCGTCGCCAATGTTGTGGTGATGATCACCAACCAACTTAGTTCCATGCGATGGAAATAAATATTGGAATTTAAAGTTGCCTTAATCAGTAAATAGATAGGAGTAAATAGGATTTAGTCGGATTTGTCAGGTCATGCCTTTACAATGCAGCAGTAAACCATTCCCTTGCGTCATCATTGAGGCCTTAATAACCCACAGTGGTACGGAATAACTACAATTTGCATACAGCAGGGCTGGATGGCTGTAAATGAGAATAAGGCCATGACACCATGATGGTGACCTAAACGTCTCAAGCTAAAGGGCCGGCTTAGCTGAATGTACAGTTGCGACATGTATCGTTCCCCAATAGTCCTCCTTTTTTGGACTAAGAATTAGGCCCTTTCTGAAGTAACTGCTTGGTTTCGATTGCAGTAAGCCCTTCTGTGGATTGTGATCTACCGAGAGATGGACTTAAAATCGCTATAATTTCAGGGTTAACTAAATGCTACAAGTGCTTGAGACTGGGATCACCCGGTGCCTCTCACCCTATACTCGTTGGCAAGTAGACGCACGAATTGCGGTCCTCATCTCCTGATTTCTCGGTTTAGAAGCTTAGACAGGATCCAAGTTCATCCACATAAACTCCAGTTC